TGCCGACAGCTAAGTCCGCATGTGGTTGCGTGCTTCGCGAGCGATTCTTCCTCGGTGCTCTTCTCATCGGTGACCACGGCTGAAAAAAAGAGTTTTCAGCGTTTTTAGAACATTTTATAAATGTCTGTTATGGAGATATAAAACTACGCATTCATAGGGGAAATTTGCAGATTCAAACGATAGGGTCTGCATTTCGATAAACAAGCAGAAGCTAATTTGAATGTCATATTGTCTACCCATACTTGAATTTCAGGGAGGTCTACGTCAAAGGTAACCTTTGATTAACAAGTAGCATTAAAAGTATAATTCATTCTTGTGCGTTCAATGATCGCTTCGCATTCGTTGGTTGAGCAAGCGTACACGAACTTAAATTATGTTGAGCGCAGTCAATGTTTTAATCGGCCACAATATCCCGTGCTTGGTTGCCATACGAGTTCAACTGGTTTTCGGTCCTTTAATTAATCCTGGCACTCATTGTGAGCAAGTTTTTTTCTTCAGTTTTTACTTTATGTTCCTTGTGACACAATTTCTTTAATTGGCTAAGCCCAATAGGGCAGTTCAACTTAATGCTAATTCTACAATAATAATCTTGACTTAGTTTTTTAGAATAGATAGTAAATTATAAGTTGGACGGAGAGATACCAGAGAGAAATAAATGTATCAGCTATAGCATTTGCCTCAGACAGAGATTCCGAGAAAATTTCGGGAAATTATTTTGCAAGTGAGTTAGAATTAAAATATATTTCAAGCCCAGATGAAAAGTGGATAAATCTAAGTAGGAATAGCAGTTTATTGCTTTAATTGTGGATTCATGCTTACGATTTTCGTAACATCCTCTTTTTTGGAGTAAACTTAAGAAAATGCTTTAAATCTAAATAATTCTAAATCTAAATAAAATTTCAAGAACAACATAAAACACCTGAGACGTAAAATGTAATAGTAAAAAGTGTTCTTAATAGTTATTAACACTGCCAATGTATTAGAGCTGGAAATAAGACATAGATAGTTTCTTGTTCATTTTATTACACTTATGCTTTCATGAAATTGATAAATGCCTCCAAATGGCTTACAATGAATCAAAAAATAGAGGATAAGAAGTAGATCATTTACTCTATTCATTCATCTACAGTTAAAAGAGGCAGAAGTTAGAACCTAAAAGGAAAGAACTAGTCTAATGGCTGTTGCATTACTATAACCCATACTAGTAAACAAGTTCGCTGCAGAAAAGGAATTGAAGCAAAATTGAATTTACGACTTTGCAGCGAACGAGCTGCCAATACTCACATAAGAAACGTTCTGAGCTCTTAGATCATCGTGAAAGCCGTAGAACTGTAGAATAAAAAAAATCTAAATTCTGTCTTATAAGTATGCCAGCCTACGATACTGTATAATTAATCTACATACTTTGCCTACTAAACATCAGCCACAAAAATCTTTGTTGAAAAAGGAGGGCAACAAATAATGAGGAAATGTATTGTAGCATTTGCGCTGTAAGCACCGTTGATCTCTGAAGGCTTATGACGCAGCTCACCTTTCCAAATCAAAAATTTGAGGGCTATCTCGGTG